AAGGCCATGGGAGCGGTGAGTGCCTCCACCTTTATACTGGACCCGTGCCCCTCCTGGCTGGTCTCAACCAGCAGAGAGGTGGCACATGGCTGGATCCAGAGAAGGTTTCTTCAGGAGGGGTCTCACCACCGCATCCTTTAGGAGGAGCGGGAAGGATCCCTCCCAAAGAGAGGTGTTGACTATCCTCTGGATCCAGCCACGTGTCACCTCTCTGCTGGTTGAGACCAGCCAGGAGGGGCACGGGTCCAGTATAAAGGTGGAGGCACTCACCGCTCCCATGGTCTCTTGCACGACTGGCTGCTGGATAGTTATTAGCATCATCACTACTTTGCTCTCTTAGCAGTAGGCCATACCTGACAGTGTCTCTCAGTGTTGGGAGTTCAGACAGCAACAAATCTCTGCCAGTCCCAATTAGGTTGTTCATATGAGTGAATTTTCCCAGTATTGGGAACACTTTTTTAGAAGCCATTACAGATCAGTTATCAAACTCACAGGAAACAAAGCCAGAAGTATTAAAACTCAAGACAAAAGAATATTAACAAAGAGAAAGACAGCTGAACTTGTGAAATGAAACAAACATTAAAAAGTGATATTTATGTAATTATTTAACTATCATATCTAAATTATATTAAAGTAACCAAAATATCTTTACAGTCCCCAAGGCATGTCACAACTTTTGAGTACCCCTAACAGCATTCAGCCTAGAAGCCTAGTTTCAACAATTCTGTAATTATTAAAACATGGGTCTTGTACACTATTTGCTCAGACAAGAACTTAGTGAGCCATGAGATTGAAAGCAGATGTATATCCATCTATTATTAGTAGATATTTGCTAATCAGTGGTGATCCTGGTGATATGCAAAGACAGGCATCTTTAATTAGATAATATGCAAATCTTGGTTTAATTATATGACAGCTTCTAGATCTTGATCTGTAGACAGTATCTATGACAATCCAAATAAAGATCACTATTTGTATATAAAAACTAGGGACATCTAAAAATATAAGCAAGGATTTTCTTGCTATGTTATGAACTATTAGATCCATATCTAAGGAATAATTAATGCCAAGTAGTACATTAATCCATGTTATTTACACAGAGCTATGGTTTCCTGACTAGTTAAAAAAGATACAATTTTGTATCAACCTGAAATTAACCCATGTCTCTATATGGTAGCTATTTATTTATTTATACAAATATGTATACACACACACTTATTTCTCTTAAAAAATTATCAAATCTTTTTAAGTATTCCTTCAAATTGAAGTGGTTTCACATAAAAGTCTTCCAAATGTTATTCTGTAATTTGACAGTTTTATCCTCCAAAAATGGTACAACACTTTAAAGTTTTTCCAGGTTCCATCAACAAAGGAATGATTTTTTTTTTAATCTCGGTGAACTTTGGGACAAAATAAGCCTCATATTTCAAAAATAAAAAGTGACTAATAGCTGGCCTTCACCTGATTGAAACTGTACTGTTAAATGTCATATGCATGTCAGGGCCAAAAAAGTATTTTTGCAAGGATAAAACTGTCAAGCTAGTTACAACATTATAGAGTTTATTTGAAAGATTCTATTAAAAATGATTCAAGTTCATAAGAATTCTGAAAGGAAACAGTCCTACGTGTATTTCTGTATTTCACTTATTCACATTTAAGAAAAGTAAATTAAAAAGCTTAATTTACTAAAAGAAAGAATACCATGCTCATTGTAAATTTTTCTCAGATCAAAGTTTTCATAACATTGCATCACTTGAAAATAAGGTCATTAGTATTTACATGTTTTTCAGCCCTATGGTGATTACAGTTCACAAACAGTATTTGTACAGTAAGTAAAACTGCTAGCAAATATTTTATAATTTATGTCAATTAATATAAATAGCAAAATATGCATTCAAAAAAATTGCAATCATACCAGTAATTTGTCACCCTTTTCAAGTAGAAGAAATTTTCAAAGATAAAGAAAATGATGCATCAAATGGGCATCAAATCCTAGCTTCAAATCCTGGAGGTTTTTTTAACTACATGCAATTAATATTATACTGTATTTATACCTAAACAATTTAAATTGTTCACATCAACATCCATAATAGTCAACTAATACAGTGGAATTTTCTATTCTTTTTATATCCATACATTGCACTATATTAAATTTTCTCCAGAACTTTGGGGAGGCATAGAGATGGAATAAAGAGGAAAAAGGAATCAGTTCTGCCATCTATGTTCATCTTGCACTTGTCGGCAGAATGCCACCATTGGATGTAATATTTGTTTTTCAGATTTACCTCTCTTCAACATTCAGATTTACCTACTACAAAGATGTGCCTTCATAAACCTTATTTAACATGGAAAAAGCAAATGAGTAAATGGTTTTTGGCACTTTCTAGCCAGAAAAATGTTGTCTTCATTCTGAATGGTGCCTTCTTCTGTTCTTCTTCTTGCTAAGAAAAACTAAGATCAGAATCATCAGACATCCTATTTCTACATTGTGTAAGATCAATGAATAGGCAATTTGTGAAAAAGAAATCATGTTCTTTTTAAAAATGTGTTTATGCAAATGTTCCAGAGAAGGAATATTAGCATGATCTTCTAAGAAATCATTTGGCTAGAATTAAATTAATACACTCTATGTATTATTTAGCAGCTTGATTTAAGAGAGAAATAAGGTCAATTATCCAAATAGGGAATCTGGTACATTCTTTAATATACTGAATATTGATCAATTGGAAAGGTTGTGGCTAGGACTATTAACTGCTCCAGGCAGAGAATGAAAGAAAAATAAATCAACTGATAAACAATAAGCTGTATGTATAAAAATAATAAAGTCCAACTTTCATCAAAATAAACATTTTGCATACCCTCATATAAGGCTAAAACCTTCAAAGTAAAAAGAGAGCACACACATCACTGCTTATGGCAATCATTCATATTATATTTTGAGAGGCAATGAAAATTCCTAATTCTGCAAATTTCGGTCACTCTACTTTTAAAAAATATATTCGTTGGTAATTTTTAATGAAGGCATAGCTTCATTCACATTTTGATCTAAACGTTGATATCCAACTGTTCTGGAACATAAGCCATCTCGCCATCTTCTATTCTGAACCAATAAAATTATCTGAAAAGAAAAGAACTAATTAGATCATATTAAATTAAATCTCTGCATGTTTAAAAAGATTTACAACAATATTTTCAGATTATTCTTTGCAAATTTTATATACTTTTCATGAAATCTTCATATTCATGTCAAATCTTTTAGGTTTGTAATAACAAGATTATTTGTGTTTAATAAGCAAACTGCCTACCTTATCCTTGACTGATAGGTTTCATAGCATTAATTACATAAAATACATTTTGGTTGATTTTTGTTATTTATGACTGAGCTAAAAATGATTTACTATCAAACATTTTTCTTATAAATCGATGCCAGCTTTACACTAGGACAAACCTGATATGCTGCAATTAAAGAAAAAGCTGAAATGAATGATAAACTCTGATACACATCCTTATGCCATTCAACAAGACCCCAGTTATACTTAGATTATAACAATGGATAAACTGCAATAGAAAACCCAATGTCTTATTAGTGAAACTGAGTGAAGATTTAAGAGAAAGGATTTTTACTTCCATGGATGTTGGATGTATTTTTTAATTTGCCCTAGTCTAGGTTGCATTTGTGAATCTAAAACTCAGTTAAAATACATTACCAATAGCAAGTCTTTAAACTATAAAAATCAATGTTTTGGATTAAAATTTTAAAAAAGCTTCAATGGAAAAATTGTCTGTCCTTAAAAGCTTGTAACTAAGAAGCTTTCTATATCAGATATTATAGAAAATATAACTACTGACTAAGAAGACAAATCTCAGATTTAAATAGGTTTATGGACAAAGTCTACTCTGCCACTTTGAATAAGTACTTTTGTCATCAATTCATCATGTCTGATTAGAAATCCACAATAAATGAAAGGAAGCCATGAATACCAATGATACTTAAACAAATGTACGTCTCAGAAAAACAAATTTAAAATTTATGATTTTCTGATATTTTCTGAAGTTTGCAACTTTGCATTTTATAATTTATAGTATTCAACTTTGCTTAGCCCTTATTTTCCAGAATAATCAAGAAAATAAAAAAAAGATTTTATATCGGAGTATTAAGATTTTCAGTTTATAAAATTTACCAGTAAGCTAATTAACTGCCTCTAAATTTATTTCAAAATAACAATATTCTAATATTAACATCAAACTGAAAATTGTTAAAAAGCCCATCCTACCTTTCTTTTATTGTGATATGTGATATAAACTACTGCAACCAAAAAGGCAAAAATAACGAGATGAAAAAAGAAATGACTGTCATCTTCCAATCCCGAGACTGTAGCATCCTTCATGTTATGAGCAAATGACTTCTTAGTCTCGAAGTTCCTCATACTTGACTCTTCTGCAAATTCTGATACATCTTGGTCATCTTGATTATTTTGAGAGTTAGAAGCTAGATCATAGATGACATAATCTTTAGGTTCTTTTGCTGTTGGTAGGGAACTAGTAAATATATTTCTGTCCGTCATGTCATATTCTTTACTATCTGCATCTTCTGAAACATCAATATTTTGTTGATTAATGCTAACAGTTTCTGAAGGTGACACAGGAGGTTGGATTACTTTCTCTTCTGCTAGAATGGGTGCATGTACAACAGAAGCATCAACTTTCAAAGAAGTTGGGATCATATCTTCATTTGTTTTATTCCTCATACTGTTCTCACTGGTTGCAGAAATAATTGAGGATAAATTATTTTTTTCATCCTTATGAATTGAGTTAAAGTTCTGAGTTATTTCTGCATTAGGTGTAGTGTCTTGAAGAGGGAAAGATAAGAATAATTTGAAATTTTTAACAAATAATTTTACAGTGCACAAGGATACACAAATTGATATGGTTTGAGGATTAGCCATATCTCAGCTGACAAACATGCATCCAAAATTTATAGCAAATAAAACACAGAAGAGTAAAAACTAGTATTAGCATATCAAAAACAAAAAACTGATAGGCTACAATAGAAATTTGCTTAAAATAGTTACTATTTTAAGTATTGAAGCCTTTAGCAAAACAGAGTTGTGCCTGTTTTAAGCAGAAATATACACATGTATAACAATCAAGCAACATAGAAATTTGTGAAAACGAGATACAGCTGCACAAGGCATTTTCCATATCAACACTATCTCATGATTGATATGACATAGGTTGGATCTATATTACTATTAACATTGCTTCTAGTTAAATTGATTAAACTCTGATCCACACATAATTCATTGGTTAGTTTTTTGCTTAGCTTGGTATATGACCCCACCTATTATGATTTATGTGTCAAGTCAGATAATGAATTAGCTCCAGAACTGTATTTAAAATAGAACCACAGAAATCAATGGGATCAGAAGCTATTTGATTCATGTTTAATTAAAATGAACAAATTTATTTGCATACATTTCATGATAAATGGGAAACAAAATACCATCTTTTCTTTGTTTCGACATGGTCATCTAAGAAGAAAAGCTTTGTGAAAAAGAAATTAAGAAATAAGCTCCAAAACCAATGAACTTGCTTTCCATTTACCATGAAATGTTGAGGTTGTAACTCTTGGTGAACCCCTAACATTTTATGTAACTACGCACTTAGAAGATTCTAGTTAAGAACTGAGATAAGTATTAGAATAATGTATCAGAAAAGAAGGCATTTAAATGGCACATATGAAGACTAGAAGAAAACTAGATTATTAACCTAAAAATATGCATAATACAGTATATTAAAATGAGTCTTCCTTCACACTATGTTGGGCTACATCAATATAAATTAAACAATTTTGGGGGATACTTTTATTAAATTTTGTTAAAATACAGTACAAGTGCACACTACAAGAGGAAAAATGAACAGATCTGATCTGCCTTGTGTATAGACATGAATGCTTTATGTCTACTGGAATTCAAATATGTAGCATCTCAAATATATACAAATATTTTTAATCTACTAGCATCAGAGAGACTGTGAAAGTCTTGAACAGATGTTTGGATATGGTTTTTACATCAATGATAGAATGCAAACTGGAATTTAATTTAATAATTTTTTGACAAGCCCAAAAGGTTGGGCTAGTAGTTAAAGCATCAAGCTAGAAGCCAGGAAACTGTGAGTTCTAGTCCTGCCTCAAGCATGAAAACAGGCTGCATGATTTTGAGCCCGTCATTCACTCTCCGATCAACTCATATCAGAATTGATGTTTTGGGGAAGATAGTAGGAAGTACAGTATTAGGTACAGTCACTGCCTTGAGTTATTTATAAGAATAATAAAGATGGGATTTAATTTTTTTTTATAAAACTATTTGAAAAATTGCTTACATTCATGAGCCTGTTTGAGTTTAACATCAATTATGAATATAGACTGCTCATGAGGCTACCACTATGATCAGTACAAATGCATTAGGAATAAGAGTTTTTCTAGTGATGGCATTACTCTACTAAATTGCCTAAGGACAACACTATGACTGCTTTTAGAAATTAGCTATTCTATTTTCAGATTTGTAGTTTAAAAGATTTTTTTTCTTAATGGGTACTTAAATTGTACTGCAATCTGTTCTTATATTTAATAATATGTTTCTTTTTCATGTTACTCTATAAATTGCTTTGAGAAGTGCCTCTTCTTGAAAGGTAGCTAAGAAATGAATGAAGTTATCAAACAGGATAGTCAAGCCTTTTACTTGAAATGGGTTCTTTCACTAACCAAGTTCCCAATGCCCAAAAATGCATAAATCAATCCAAGAACTATTCATAAATTGTATAATTATTCTATGAACTACTCTTTACTCTATGCTTTAACTTGCCTCAAAACTAAACAGTATTTTAGGGGTGTGTGTGTGTGTGTGTGTATGTGTGTGTGTATGTATGTATGTATGTATGTATACACACACAAACACACCTCTCAAAAGAACGGTTAGTCATGCAATTCCCTCCATTGCACAACTAGGAGCAATTGAACCAAAAGAGGAAGCAGAAAGTGTGTAGCTACGTAGTGTGTTTGAGAAAGACAGAAAGGTTAAAAACTGCCTTTCTTTTAGAGCCATCGTATACAGTTCTGTACATCCCTTTATAATATTAATATTGATAGAGAACTTGTTAATTAGGCGGGAGCCAGGTTTAGGGGCAACCCAGGCAGACCCGACCGAACCAACAAAAAGAAAGAAAGCGCCACTTTCCTCCCCAGGAACCTCTTCCTATGCCCGAGAGGCTCCCTCCCTTTCTCGGCATTGCCGAGATTCACCGGGTGAGGCGGAACAAAAAAGGTGGAAACCGTCCCGATGTATTGAGGCAACAAACCCCATCGTCCCCAACCAGAACGGCCACTCTGCCCGGCTGTGGACAATAGGTGCGTGGTCTACGCCGTCTACGCAGAGGGCAGAAAGAAGCAGGTCGCCCAAGACTGGTAAAAGGGGTGGGGGAGCAGATGGGACAGCGGCGCCGGCTGCGTGACTTTCCTCCTCCAGCCGACCCCGGACTCGCCGCTTTCTCCGCCGCCACTTGGCGCACGCCGCTTAGGCACCTTTCCCGCCTTACCGTCTGTAAGCTGGCCGCGAAGCGGCAAGGCCAAGAGCAGAAGGAAGAGCGACGTCCGCGCCAAGGACGCCAGCGACGGCGCCTCCCCCATGGCGATACACTTCGGACTCTGCTCGGTGGCCGCCATGGCTGCCGCCATACCTTCGCTGGGGGAGGTGGCTTCGTCCAGACCCGCCCACCCGCGCTGCTAGGCAACTGCGTTCGGCAGGAGGGGGGAAGCCTCTGACGAAACGAGCCTCTCCTCCCCTGAGCTGGTCAGGCTTCCTGACCAGCTCAGGAATATAACTTCCTACGAAGATATATGTACGATATCATTTGTAGAGGGGCGCTTCGTCTGAATTCGACACTTCCGGGTTTCCTATATATGCTCTGTGTATGTCACTCTTCACGTTTCCATCTCTCACGGAGTCTAACAAAAATGCGAAATCACCTAAAAGGCGCCAGGCATATTTTTTTCCGGCTTTGATGGTATAATACTGTACGAATTCTTACGTAATTTGTATTGGAAAATAAAATGTGAGGTTCCCTGGGCTTGTTTTCTTGCAGAAACTTCATTACCCAAACTAGGTAACATCGTCAGTGGTAGTAAGGAATGGGGTTTTCTCAGTTTTATATTCAAGTCGTCTTGCCCAATGGTCTTTTTGTTTTTGTTTCGGCTGTTTACTGTAGCTTAACTTGTTTTCTTGAAATCTGCGGTAACAGTTCTTAAACGAGGAATACCTGTAATCCTGCCTCACGTTTTACTCACAACAGCCACCCTGTAAGGTGGGTTTGGGCTGAGAGTCACCAATCCAAAGTCACCCAGAAGGCTTGCATGCCTAAGGCAGGACTAGAATTCACATTTATTCTGTAGCATAATCTAATATCTACACTACAAAAAAAGAAATTCCATTTGCTACTAGCAAGGTGGATAGTACTCCTATCATGGAGATATGGCACCTACAGCTTTTCCTTTTGTACATATGCAAAACACGTGATTATATTCTTTCACAGAATATTCAAAGGTATAGCTATAACTTAGCATTTGATTCGTGGATCTTATCCTATGTTCAGGATGAAGTAATAGTTTCTCTAAGCATATTTCTTAATTACCATATTGACAAGCCCAAAGGATCATATCTTTGACTTGACAATGACTGTTTTTAACTGGCCTGTCACAACTTTCTTTTATTATGCTATATTTCTAAAAAGCCTACATTCAAATCCTTTACTCAATTATTCTCTAATATTTTTCCACTGGCTTAGACTGAAATTATTTCCTGCCAAGGTGCTTATATCAACTTGTATTATTCACGGAATGTTACAAAGGGACAGGTAAGCCCATTTTGCTCAATGCTTGTTTTTCTTTGTTGAGAAAAATACCTAGTGCCGTATCTCACATATTAGAACTAGGGATTCACTGTTTGGAAGGAAGGATTAGAAAGATTTATAGCAGTCTACAGTGGTGAAGAAAAATCTACAATTTATTAATTTAGAGATAAAGGCAAGATCAAGAATATCATGTTACTTCATGTCCACCTGAGACAATTATTGCAGATTCACAGTGATCTGACCGAAATAACCCAAAAACTCAGTTTGCACTTCACACTATATCCTCACTTGCTTTGATTCTAGAAACAGAAGTGAGCATGCACAGCTATATCTATGAGAAGATAAAAATCCTCACATATTGCTTTTTTGTGCAATTCCATTGCTAATTAAGGATGTTGAAATGCACATGGGAAAGCAATGGTTTTTGAAAAGATATTCTATCAAAATAACCAGAACTGTTTGTTCTATCATAATGAGCAGAACTGTTTCACAGAGGTCATAATGCTGTTTCACTAGTTATAAACAAAAAAGCTAAGAGTGTTTCATAAACTCCAGATAGAAATGTTAAAACTATTTAATAAGACAGACACAATTAGAGGTGAAGGTGTTTTATTTATGTTGGAAGGAAGATGTACTTTGTTTATCTTTAATTTTAAGTGGTGTCCAGTACAGCATTTAGGGTCTAGTTCCACACACACAAAAATGGAAGACTGAAGATGTATCCATTAAAACTGCTTTAAAAAAAGTGATAAAACAAAAAGTCCATTTTCTTTAATGCAGTGCCACTAAGGGGTTACAATAACAACAGGTTTTTTTCGGTTCATTGCTCCATTGTACAAGCTTTTCAATAATCAGCGCAAGGGAAAAGATGTGAAATTTTAAGTTGGATTGGCTGATTTACATCAAACTTTCTACACACCAAAATAGTACAATGTGAACATTCTAAAGCACTCTAAAGCTGTTGGGTGTAAAAGAGAGCTGTAGGAGGGAAAAGTGGGAATTAAATGGGTGTGATGTACCTGCCTTGACAGCCTCTTAAATAAACATGAATGCTCCATTAGAGAATGAAAGCCTGATGACTTAGATAGCAGAGATTGTGTTTTCTGCACCCTGTGATGAACAAGCATTTTCACAGCATGAATTTCAGATGTGTCTTCCACTACAATCATCATCATTCCTTCATACAAGAGTTGATAAGCACGTAGCTCCAACCAACAATATACCCCAAATGCCCGGAACTGGAGAAAGTAATTCCATCTTTCTCTGAAAATACATGCTCTGAGGTTTAGCCTTTAACCAGATTTAATATGACTGACACACAGCAATAATTGCATCCCAGACGTAAAACATTGAAAAGTACACTAAATCCAGAAGGTAGCTATGCTGTATAGTGTTTCAGAATTAGTGATGGTAAAATCCTTTCTTTTATGCTTCGAATTCCAGTCCTAGACCCAGCTTGTGGCCACCTGCATTAATATTCTTCCCATCCAGTAAAGCAGACAATGTCAATTTGATACCTAGGCAGGAAATAAGAGAAAAGTTATTAGAATTTATTTGTTAGCATTGCAAGGATATTTCAAAGAACCTAATTAGGAAAAATGTTGGAAGTTCTATAAAAAGGAACTTATGGAGACACATTTACCTTTCCTGATATGCAATCCAACTCAATTGCTGCATTACCAAATAGTAAATGATTGATCAGAATAATATCTATGATTCTTATCTATTTAGATTTAGTTTGATGATAAACCATAGATACATCAGGACTTAGTTTTATGAATTCACAGAAGGAAAGCATTTGCTGGCTTTCCTTTGGCAAAAGTAGTAGCAGATAATATTTCTTCAATTAAATGAATATTCAGAGCCTGAAAGAACTGATTAGTTTTCATTACATTTATATGATTAGGATTCATATAAATGACACACAACAATTTAATTATTGGCAAAAAAAAATACATTAAAAAAAATGTCAGTCATATCAAACACATTTTATCTTTACATACCTGGCTTCAGAATCTGAGTATATCCTAAACCAATCAGACTGGAATTGTTCACTTTAGCCTACGAAACAAAGTCAATCATGTAACAGTATTATTTCAAAGTGTTTGCTACATAGCTCATAAACAATCCATCAGATCAGATACAAGAAAGTGAGTATGTCAAATAATATTTTATTATTTTACTAAATTCAGTGAAAGTGCAACTAAGTTCATGTGTAAACTTTATAACAACTAGAGATGTGCAGAGATCATATTTTAGTTTGAAGTTGTTCAACTAAAACTGTTCAACTAAAATAGTTCAGTATGATTTGATACCTACATCTGTCTACAATTTGCATTGCATATTGACTCTATTTTAGGATGGGGAAAAAACAGAAGCCTCTATAACATTTTTGTTTTAATAAGAATGAGATGAAATTTGTAGCTAAGTTTTTCAATTATATAGAAATGAATAATAATACACTGAGAGTTATGTTTATGACATTTATTACTGTTGCAAAACTGATTTTTTGCATTCAAATATGTTTAATTCAAAAGAGCACATAACTATAGATTTAAAGCAGAGTACGAAAAAATATGTAGTGAGGATTGTATCTATATGCAGAAGACAGCAAGTATAAATATTAAACACAGCCTTTCTTTCAGACCAGATGTACACAGCTTTCTATAGTCCTTTATAATATTAGTACCTTTTAACTTGTTAAAAAGGGGAGGGAGGGAAGGAAGGAACTGAGATTTTTTTTTCTCAGCCAATAATGGACATGTGCTACATATTTGCAGAAGGGTTCTGTCTCCTATAAGCCATTGATTCCCAACTCTGTAGAATCAATCCTCAAAAAAATTGGTGACAGTATTTATGACAATTTGGACAAATTGATTTGAATGCTAAACCAAAAAGATTATCTGAGTAGAATATTTCATTGACTTTCAAATGGCACAAATTAAGTTAGATTTAGTGAACAGCCAAAAAAACCCTGTCTTCCAGTAAATAATGTAATAAATAATTGAAACCTGAATAGGTTTTCTCCTTTTTACATCAAAACTAAATCATAATCTATTAATGAATCCATTAAATAAGAAGCATTCACTGCAGCCTCTATTTAAAAACAAGAAAACCAGATACTTCTTTTGAAACTTTCCTGTTATAATCTTGAGATTTAGAAAAATAATAACAATTTGCATGTGGCTTATTGTTAACAGAACAAAAATATGGTAGTTCATACATACTTCCACCCAATTATTATCAGGGTGCATGTGATAATCCAGAAGTGTCAGTTACTCAAAGTACACAATCAGGCAGTGTTAATATACTGATATGGGAAATTCAGTGAGAGATAAGTTGCATACACCAAACTTATCTAAAGGTAACCAGAAAAAGGTGAAATGATTTTAAGACCATGCCACTGAGTGGAAAGCAGCATTTTAAGAACCTGAATTTATGACAAAGCATATAGTACAAGTTTCTCTTTTCTCCCAATGCTTCTTTACTTGCTTGTACCTCATTTGATAAAGAAACAATTCTGTGAAACAAGAAAAGGGAGTATTGACTAAATATTGTAGTGAAACCATTTGTTCAAACAACAATTGCCTTTGGAATGGAAGGCTCTCTAGTCCAGTGTTTTTCAACCTTTTTTGTGCAAAGGCACACTTTTTTCATGAAAAAAATCACGAGGCACACCACCATTAGAAAATGTTCAAAAAATTTAACTCTGTGCCTATATTGACTATATATAAAGTGTTTTTCCCACGGCACACCTTACACTATGTCACGGCACACTAGTGTGCCGCGGCACAGTGGTTGAAAAACACTGCTCTAGTCCATTATTGTCATGGAATCAAATTCTACTTACAGAAAAAGATGCATCTGAATCCATC